GTGTCGGGGGGGCTCCACCAGCCAATCAGAGCACTCCTGGGGAATCGTTTCGTTCACCGCCCACACCGCCGGCTTGGGAATGTGCCTCAGAAGACCGTTGAGGAAGCTTACAACCATCTGGTGCGCCAAGGAGTCACCCAGAAACAGCAGATTCAGTCCCCCTTTCCTCCCCTCGGCCTTCCTGCAAAACGCCTCCCCATCAAACGACCTCAACGGGCCAATCGGGCACTTCCCGGGCGGCGTTCTCCACTCGTATTTGAGCGACTCACGCACGCTCCACCCGCCCGACGCACCGCCCTCCACCGCATACTTATCCGCTTTCTTGGTCACCAGCCCCCCGGTGGTCTCCTGGTGCCTATGGTCGCACAGGTTCATTGTACCGAGGTACTCCCAAGGGAGGATGCGTGGCGTGGCATTGTAAGCCCACCGCCCACGCTGGCTGACGCACCGCAGCCAGCGCCGAAACCTGGCGGCGGACTGCAGAGATTGGATCTGCGTGCCGGGGATGAGCGGCTTCTTGCTGGAAGAGGAGGAGGAAGCCTGTGCCAGCTTGGCGGCTTTCATTCGCCTGTCTGCTGCAGCCAGCACTGCCTCTTCAACCACCTTCTCATCTGCAGTCACTGCTTTGCCCACCACTCTAGCTAGAAACATAGCCGCTGCTTCCACTGCCCCACCCCTCCACTCCACCTCTCCTGCTCCTTCCGCACCCTCCTTGCCCCCTCCTCCTCCCCCCCCAGCTTCGCTTTCCACGAAGCTTCCTCGGATCACGCGGTGGTGGATCTGGCAGACGGCCGCCAGGCTGGCGACCGAGTCGGCGATGACCGCGTCCACGTGGTCGGGCGGCGGGCGGAGCTCCAGCAGGGCGGCGCGGGGCGGCAGGAACGCGAGGTTGATCAAAAACGGGCTCGTGACGCTGACCAGCAGCGCGGCTCTAGGAAACAAGTCCCGAGCGTCGTCCCGCTGAAACCTCCCCACCAGCCTCACATGCTCCCCACCGAATTTCCCCCTCAATCCCGCCACAATTCCCGCAAACCCCTTCACCTTGACCCCTGAGGGGGGCTCTAGCACGATCACTTCTTTCACCCCGCTCTCTTCCCAGGGGGGGAGGGCGGCGGGGGCGGGGCGGTTTTTGGGGAGTGTGGGGGGGAGGCGCTCGGACCAGTCGGGCTTGAGCAGGGGCAGGCCCCGGGGCTGCAGGAAGTGAGAGGAGCGCAGATTGGACCAGAGGGAGGGGCTGGGGTGCTGGCAGTGCTGGAAGGTGGGCTGGGAGGAGGGGGAGGGGGGGAAGGGGGGGGGGGGGAGGGGAGAGAAAAGAGGGACGGAAGGTAGGGAGAAAAGGCATAACGCACCTCAAGAATTGGCCCCGGGGCTGCAGGAAGTGAGAGGAGTTGGCCCCGGGAATGCATGTGCTTGTGAATGCATGTGCTTGTGAATGCATGTGCTTGTGAATGCATGTGCTTGTGAATGCATGTGCTTGTGAATGCATGTGCTTGTGAATGCAGGCATGGCGTCACCAAGTGGGAACTTTGAAAGATGGGTTTTTGAGGCGCCTCAAACTTTGAAGGATGAGAATCGGAACGCACCTGAATGAGCGTGCGGACGAAGAGGAGGCGAGAGGCATCACCGAAGGAGAGCATGCGACCCATGGTGACTCCCACCACTCGAGGCAGCTGGGGGGGGGCAGCACAGATCATGTCACAAACAGGCCAAGTTGCAGACATTCGCAGGCCATGCCATGGAGGCAACACATGCCATGCCACAGCATCATAGGCCATGCCATGCCATGCCATGCCATGCCGTGATTTCAGAGAAAATACAGTGAGTGGTGACGAGGCAATTTTCTTTGCACAAATGGACAAAAGTGGGGGTGGGGGAAGAGAGGGGCGCCCTAGCACGCCGCACATGCTTCCCTAGCACCTCCCCCCCACTCTCTTCCCCGCCCCACGCCACCAGCACACCACATATGCTTCCTCCCTCCACCGGATCCGGCTTCCCGTTCGAGCATGCGCAATAGCGGCAGGAAGCGTGTCGTGTGACATCGTAACGAGGTGACTTCTGAGTCGACTCAAAAGGCTTCCGGTGCAAGCACGCGGAATAGCGGAAGGAAGCGTGGCACGAGTTCCAGGACGCCACCACTTCGCACCCCACCTCCTTCCCTCCTTTCCACTCCCCCCCCCTCCCCCCCACACCCATCGCGCACCTTCTTTCCCTGCATCACCAGAGCCAACTTCCCGTGCTTCTTGAGCATGCGAGAGAGTGGCAGGAAGAGCGGCACGAGCTCGAGGATCCCACCACTCCCCCCCCCCCATTTCCACTGCTCCCCCCACACCTACGCACCCATGACTTACCTTCTTTCCCCTCATCACGAGGGCCGGCTTTCCGTGCTTTTTTAGCACACGGGACAGCGGCAGGAAGAGCGGCACGAGCTCGAGGATCTCGTGGAAGGGCAGGCGCGTGCCAGGCGTGCCCCCTATCACCAGCAGGTTGACCAGCGAGTTGTAGGAGGACACGCGCGTGCCGGGCTCGTAGTGGAACTACGCTAGGAGGAGAGGGGGGACGGACGTGGGGGAGGGGAACGAAGAAGAGGGGAGGGGTTTGAGGAAAGGGGAGGATCTCATGGAAGGGAAGGCGCGTGGCAGGCGTGCCCCCAATGACCAGCACATTCACGAGGGAGTTGAAGGACGACACGCCCGTGTCAGGCTCGGGGGGGAAGGGAGAGAGGGAGGGGCAGGGGAAGGAGAGGATCTGGTGGAAGGGCAGGCGGGTGGGTGGGTGCCGGTCGTGCCCCCTATCACGCGTGTGCCGGGCTTGGGGGGGAGGGGAGTGGGAGAGGGGGGGGGGAGGGGGGAGGCGGGTTTGGGAAGGGGGAGAGGGAGAGGGAGAGGGGGTGGAGGGAAGAGGGGAAGGGGGGGTTGTTGGGTGAGGGAAGCAGGGATTGGGAAGAGCGTGCCTCCAATGACGACCGAGACGTAGGAGGACACGCGGGTGCCGGGCTCGACGTGGAACTACAGTAGGAGGCGAGAGGGAGGGGAACGGGGGGGGAGGAGTAGAAATGGGGTAGTTGGTAGTAGGGAGGAGGAATGCGTGAGGGAGGGAAGGGGGATGGTGTGCCATTACAGGCAAGAGAGACTTTGGCGCGCATCATGCGTGACGCACCCCTAGACCCTGCCCCTGCACTGTGCTCCTCGTTGCTCCCCATTTCTTGCGCATCGAATCACACTTTCCCCTTCTTACCCTTCCCTGACCCCCCCGCCATTTCCCCCTCCCCCTCCCCTCCCCCACCCCCCTCCTCCCTCCCTCACTCGTAGGCGTACGCACCTTGTCTTCGGCGTAGCAGCCATTGGCGTTGAAGACATGAGTGGCGTTGAACACCTGGCCCTTGTTGTTCACGTACACGTCGTGCAGCGCAAACACGCGCCCAGACCACACAAACGTCGGCCCCTCCTTTCCTCCGTCCTTGCCTCCCCCTTCCTCCCCCTCCTCTCCCTCTCCATCTTCTCCCTCTTCCTCCTCCTCCTCCTCCTCTTCCTCCTCTTCTTCCTCCCCGTCCTCGTCGTTTTCTCCAGGCTTAACTATGGTGCCGTTCCCCGCAATTCGCGGAGCCAGATCCATGTAATCGGGGTTTCGACAGACGGAAATATCCTCGAAACCTGCGTCTTCGCACATCCGGAATTCCGGGCAGCGAAGGGCCTTGGCGCATGTCGCGAATTTTCGCCGGCTGGTTACACCTTTAAGCGCTCGCCGGCCTTTTCGCGAAAGAATGCTAGGCGGTGGATTAGGGTTAAGATCGACCACTTCAAGCCGCTTGCTGTCGATCGCCTTTCGCAAATCGCCCGCTGACGCGTAATGAGTGCCTCGCTTTCGCCGAGATGCTCCTGGTAACCAGTCGCTAGCAGAAAGCAGCTTTCGCCGGCTGGCATCGGTCATGTGCGACATGGGAGCTGAAACGTCAAACGACCCATTTCGGCTGTTCCCAGGGAGGACAAAACTTCCTGGCGAAACCTGATCGCCGAATAAAGCGGGATCAGCTGTCAGGGGTGAGAGTCCAGTTGTACTATTCCCGTCAATCAAGGCGAGGGAAACTCCAGGTGTCGAGAATAAAGACACGGCAAGAGCCCATCCTACGGCCAGGATGAGAACCTTGCAGCTCCGCATCGAGAAACGAAACGGCTTGTAGCGCGTACGACGCCGGGCCGCAATAGGAGGCTCCATCTGCGATTGTCGCGAAAACAGAGCCTTCACGTACATTTGCGTACACGGTGAAACTGCACCATCGACCTTGTAGTTCTTCTACTCTCAATAGAAGCACGAAGCATTTCTATCACAAGCCTCTCTTTCATAGAATCACACGGCTGCAGCCAGCTACTCGTCCAAGCGGACAGTTAGAGCTGGTCGCCAGCTCCTGTGATAGGTCGAAGAAAACGCAAGTGGGTGAAGGAAAGAGAGCGACACGCAGCGAATTTACAGTTACATGGGGGAAGCCATGATCAGGACGCTGAGACGGCTCGATAAGTCAATCAGTGAGTGAGTGGTGGTGATGTGAGAGCTGGCAAGGGTGAATAACAACCATCGAGGTTGCCGATACAGTATTGTGTGCGACAGTTGGTTGGTGTGTTGTAGTTGTGGCCGTTTTGGAGCGCCAGAGAGATCCGTATTTGTACTTTTAGTTCTGTATAAGCCGCTAACGCGTACATGCATTTCCTATCATCCTGTATGTACGTGCCAAAACAGTTGCTTTTATATAACGACGTCTTTATTTTTCATGGAGTAAAAGCGTCAAATTATTACAAAGTCATCAATAGCTGGATCATCTGAGCACGGAATTGAGCATGAGTTCCATGCACCTACGTTTTAGCGAGTTTTGTAAAACGAGGATCATCGTCATTGGCTTTTGATGTACAATGCCGTGGCACGCTATGAGCCGTTCGTCGGTCAGTCATCACATAGCCAGCCAGCACGCACCAACAGCGAGTTTTCCACTCACTCACCGAGCGCGCTAGGATCAGCAGCAACATGTGAGTGGGACTTATCACTTTAGTCCGAGCATCCCAACGTCCCTGTTTCGTTCTGCGGGCCTTGAAAGAGAACCCTGCTCTTGTCGCTACCTGCAACGCTGGAAGCGCGAGACGAGTCGGGAAGGCTGCCTCTTTCACTACCGTAGTCACTTGTCGTGCTCCCTCGGTCGTCTCGTGCTCTTGATCCTTCCCAATCGCTGCGGGTCTCTGCTTTCCAGCGTACCTTGCTCCACAGTACAGTCAAAAAAGGCTTACAGACTTCACTGCATTGTGTCGCGAAAGGATCACGAATCAGCGGAAGGACACGAGCAGGCGACGGCCTCAACGTAGCTGTGTCGAGCCCGAGGTCGTGTCGCTAATCCGAGATCCCGTTGCGATCCGAGATTCCGTTGCGATCCGAGATTCTGTTTGCTGATACGTGAATCCGCCTGAGATCCGATCGCCATGGCAGCGGATTCTGGGCCATCTTCAGGGCCCGTAATCCGAGTGGGAGTGCTGGCGCTGCAAGGCTCCTTCAGAGAGCACATCGCAGGTCAGTCTCGGCCGCTCTTGACGCGCAGGCCTCGCCGCTACCACCGCCTTGACCAGGTGCATGCATGGCATTACCCGTGATCCGCGTGGGGGTGCTGGCGCTGCAAGGCTCCTTCAGAGAGCGCATCGCGGGTCAGTGATTAGTGATCGGTGTGGGCCCCTCTTGAGCACATCTGGACCGAGCGCGTGTGTGACATCCCCCCTCGTCCCAGAGGGGGTGCTGGCGCTGCAAGGCTCCTTCAGAGAGCGCATCGCAGATCAGCACTTGCTTAGCTGACTAGAAGCTTTGAGCCCTCTTTTGTGGAGCAAAAGACAAATCGAGTTGAGACACCGATCGTCCATCTCTCTGCCACCAGCTCACTCCCTCCCTCCATCTCCTGCCCGCCCTCCCTCCCTCCTGCTCTCCCTCCCCCACTCACCGCCCTCAGCGCTGCGCACGTGCGCGCTGGACGTGAAAGCAGCGTCGTTCGAGGCAATCGAGGTCCGCACGGACAGCGAGCTGCGGTCCGTGCAGCCGCTCATCATTCCACCCCCTCCCTCGCTCCCTCCGCCCGTCCCCCACTCCCCGCCCTCAGCGCTGCGCAGGTGTGCGCTAGACGTGACGGCAGCGCCGTTCGAGGCGGTCCAGGCCCGCGCGGACACGGAGCTGCCATCCGTGCACGCGCTCATCATTCCGCTCCCTTTCGCCCTCCCTCCCTCCCTCCCTCCCTCCCTCCCTCCCCCCGTTCCCCATTCCCTGCCCTCAGCTCTGCGCAGGTGCGTGCTGGATATCAAAGCAGCGTCGTTCGAGGCAATCGAGGTGCGCACGGACAGCGAGCTGCGGTCTGTGCAGGCGCTTATTATCCCCGGTGGCGAGAGCACCACCATGGCGAATCTCGCGCAGCGATGCGGACTGGTACGCTGCCTTTCCGCTGGTTCCTCTAGCCCGTTCCAATCCTCTATCCCTCCCTATCTTTTAGCCCCTCCCGCTCATTATCCCCGGCGGCGAGAGCACCACCACGGCCATCCTCGCTCAACACCACGGCCACCCTGACTAGCTGACTGACTCCCCATCGTCCCCCTTCCCTGTTTACTGTCTCTCAGCTCGGCGCGCTTCAGGACTTCGCAGCCTCGGGCCGGCCCGTGTGGGGAACGTGTGCCGGGCTCATCTTCCTTGCAAACAAGGCGCTAGGTGGGTGGAAGAGGAGGAGGGTAGATCAGGAGAGGGGGGAACGTGTGCAGGGGGGTTAGAGAGCTTCTGGTCCGCCCGCCGGGAACATGTGCCGGGCTCATTTTCCTTGCCAACAAGTCGCTAGGTGGGTGGCCAAGGCGCTAGGCGGGTGACCAAGGCGCTAGGTGGGTGACCAAGGCGCTAGGTGGGTGACCAAGGCGCTAGGTGGGTGGAGGATGCAAAGAAGGGAGGTAGATAGAGGAGATAGGATGTGGCTTTGACGAACGGGCTGCACGAATGCGGCCGATGGAAGGAGAAACTTTCTGCCGCGGAGGGGGTGATGTCGCGTCTGACGGATGATTTTCATTCGACGGAAAAGTCCCTGACGGATTTGTTGAGAGATTTGGAGGTCGCAACGAGAATACAGAAGCCGGAGTGGAGGCGGACGACACCGAGGTGAACGAACGGCTGCAAGATGCACTCACCTGACTACAGGAGCAGGCCGCGGAGCTCACCAAGTTGCAGACGGTACTCCGTGGTGAGCTCCGTCTGCAACTTAATGAGCTCCGCGGCCTGCTCCCGTAACTTGGAGAGTGCATCTTCCAGCCGTCCGTTTACCTCGGTGCCATCCGCCCCCACTCCGACTTCTCTATTCTCGTGGCGGCCTCCAAGTCTCTCAACTTATCCGTCAGGGTCTTCTTCATCATATGAAATTGATCCATCAAACACAACATCGCCCCCTCCGCGGCAGAAAGTTTCCCCTTCCATCGGCCGCATTCGTGCAGTCCATTCGTCAAAGCCCTCGCTCTTGTACTCTTTCTGGCCTGCCTCCTCTCTTCCACCCTCCATCATTCACGCCCCTTGGCATCTTCTCGTATTTCGCCACGTCTTTCAAACTCTCTTGTCACTCATTTTGTTCGACATCCCGGCATGTCCCATGCCAGGTCAGAAGTCGGGCGGGCAGGCGCTGCTGGGAGGGCTGGACTGCACGGTGCACCGCAACTTCTTTGGCAGCCAGGTGAGACAGTCAGGGTCGCATGGAGCGTCCCAGTCAGGATAGAGACGGATAGAGATGGATAGAGATGGTTTTTCCAGTTAACTCATCTGTCCCTTTCCCTTCCTCCTCCCCATGCAGATCAACAGCTTCGAGACTCTCCTGCCCTTCCCCCACCACACTCTGCAATCCACCACCACCACATCATCAGCATCAGCAGCAGAAGCACCGCCCACACCTCCCCAAGCAGACCCATCCCTCCCCCACTCCTCTCCTGATTCTTCCTCGCCCTCCCCCGACGCCTCTCCATTCCGCGCCGTGTTCATCCGAGCGCCCGCCATCATCCAAACCGGCCCTGCTGTGGAAGTGCTTGCAGAGTACCCCCTCCCCAATCGTGCCTCTGCTCTCGCCACACCTGCTGGCGCGGCAGCACATGCAGGCGCTGGTTCGGCCGAGCCTGCAGCCACCGCTTCGGCCGTGCCTGGCCAGAGTGCTCAAGAGCTCTCCGAGGCTGAGATCCTAGATAAGGTGATTGATTCTCATGGGGAAAGCTTCCAAGGGCCTGTATGCCCTTCCCACACATCCTGTTCCTCGGAATGTGCTCCACTCCCTTCAGAGCTCGTTGGCTGATGATTCTAGCTTGTTAACTCTCCTCTCCTCGCTCCTTGCTTGCTTAACTTTTCCTCCTCTCTTGTCTCCCACTTCCCTTGTCACGTACCACCTGTCTCTGAGGTCACTTTTGAGTCGACTCAAAAGTTCCCTTGTCACGTACCACCTGTCTCTGCTGGCAGCTTGACCGAGTGGCAGTGGCAGTGCGGCAGGGCAAGCTACTGGCTACAGCATTCCACCCAGAGCTGACTGCCGACCTCAGATGGTGAGAGCTGCCTGCCGACCTCAGATGGTGAGAGCTGCCTGCCGACCTCAGATGGTGAGAGCTGCCTGCCGACCTCAGATGGTGAGAGCTGCCTGCCGACCTCACATGGTGAGAGCTGCCTGCCGACCTCACATGGTGAGAGCTGCCTGCCGACCTCAGATGGTGAGAGCTGCCTGCCGACCTCAGATGGTGAGAGCTGCCTGCCGACCTCAGATGGTGAGAGCTGCCTGCCGACCTCACATGGTGAGAGCTGCCTGCCGACCTCACATGGTGAGAGCTGCCTGCCGACCTCAGATGGTGAGAGCTGCCTGCCGACCTCACATGGTGAGAGCTGCCTGCCGACCTCAGATGGTGAGAGCTGCCTGCCGACCTCACATGGTGAGAGCTGCCTGCCGACCTCACATGGTGAGAGCTGCTTACAGGTTCACTCGTTCTGGCGCCCTTGCAGCCACCCACAGCTGTAGCATGCTAGCAATGGCAGTGGCAGTGCGGCAGGGCAAGCTGTTCGCTACAGCATTCCACCCAGACCTTACTGCCGATCGCAGATGGTGAGACGTGAACACTACGCGCTTCACATGCGTTTGAGCTCTCCGCCTTCTGCCTTTTGCCATATCAGTCGCTCGTTCCTTTTGTTCCAGCCTTCCTGCCACCTTTTTCTTACTGTTTCTAAACGCTTCCTTTTTCTAACAGCTCTACCCAACCCTCTCCCTGCCCTCTCCCTGCCCTCCTGCCCTACACCCCCCCCCACCTTCCCTTCCACAGCCATGGGCTGTTGCTCCAGATGGTTCTAGATGCTCTTAGAGACGCTGCTAGGCTGATCACCCACCTTCTAGTCGTAATGCCTCTACCCGCCCCTCTTCCCTGCTCTCTTGCCCTCCACCTCCCCACCCCCACCTCACCAGGCATCGGCTGTTCCTCCAGATGGTTCTAGACGCCCTCCAGTCTTCCCCGGACCTGGCTACCGAACCTGCATCTCAAACCGCTCCCCCCGGTTCGGCAGCCAAGCTGGCTGCAAGCAGCGTGCCCAATGTAGACCCAGGTGACCTGCCGGTGTTTGGTTCGGCATTGAACCTCGAGATCGAGCTCAAGCCCATGCCGCAGTAGGTTCGGCAACAGGCTGGGCAAGCTGGAACTCATGTCTGCCTAGAACTCAATGTCAGAAAGACCACCTCTTTATTAGGCCCTAGGCCTTTATTAGCACACCCTAGGAGAAAGTATCTTAATGTCACCACCATTCATGGATACTCTCCCGTCTCCTAGCAAAAGGAGTGGATGAAACATGCGCCATGAGTAATGAGTCATGAGACATGACACATGTGTACCATCACTGCGCGTGGGATGATGTGCCACAATGGTGGGAAGGAACACACGAGGGAAAGGGGGAGACGGAAAGCCATGTAAAGGGGGCATAAAGACTGGAGCCATAAAAGGGGGCAGGAAGCAATGAGGCAATGAGGGAATGATGGGATGAACGAATAATGGGGCTCAGTACTACGGAAATGAGGAAAGGAGAGCGCACCAAAGTCACCTGGCAGGGAAGTCACCTCAATAGAGAACAAGCGATACGGTGATTCACTTACCCAGAAAAATCATTATCCGCCAATTACGGTAACCACCCAATTGAAGACGCATGCATGCAACTCGAGGTTGTCACTCCTTGTTCCAATGATGGCTAATCACCGCCTCAACCGAATGCTCCCACATGTGCAGCCCCCAGCGCCTGGCCAGCAGCCCCAGCATTGACTGGTTGTGCCGGTGGTCCGTAACGCACTGTTGTCCCACCTCTGCTCACTCCCCTCATGCCTGGCTACTCTTTGTTCCAATGATGGCTGATCACCGCCTCTACAACAGTGTGCTCCCACATCTGCAGCCCCCAGCGCTTGGCCAGCAGCCCCAGCGCCGACTGGTCGTGGCGGTGGTCCATGAAGCACGCGTGGTTGGGCCGCCCCAGCTGGTTGGGCATGTCCGTTGACACGCGCGCATCCTCCATGTACCCCAGCCACTGGGCGGCAAACTGAATCGACTGCCGCCCGCGCCGCCAGACAGAGAAGCCGGCATCGGCCTGACAGGTTTGATGTAAAAGGGGGGAGGAGGAGGGGGGGGGGGAAGGGAGGCGGGAGGGGGATGGGGAAGGGGGGGAGAGAGTGGGGTGAGCAGGGAAGAGGGAAGAGAGACGAGAGCGGGGGAAGGGTGGGGAGGTGAGAAGGAAGATAATGAGTACAGGGGATAAGAGGGTAGGAGGGGTCGATACCATGCATAATAGCAATCCAGTCTAAACCACCCCAATTTGGCCCATACTCGTTATAAGCTCACCTGGGCGGATTTCATGCAGATGTTTTCATCAGTGCAATTGAGCAGCAGAAAAGCGTCCATCTTAGTCCAGCAGGCTTCCACGAAATTGGGCGGAAACTGAAACAAATGAACCTCCTGTTGACTTAAAGCCCATTTAATAACCTCCCGAACTGCTCCTTCCGAATCCTCCCCATCGTCCAGAACCATCCTCGTTAGAAGCTCATCCACTATCCCGCCCGAAGCATAGGATTCCCCGCCACCAGCTGCAAGACCGTATAAAGCGGATAAATTCCCGTTTGTGGTGCTATCCGCGTCTGCGTATAGTAACAAATCCCCATCCTGCATCTCCTCTAAAAGCGTCTTCAGTATAAGGTACGGTTTCCACACCCAGTATCCCACGCCTCGAGGAAGAGATAGAATCTTATCGTTCCGGGAGGTAAAAATGGGATCCAAGGAGGAGTGATTATATGGAATGCAGCGGTCCGCGCCGTGCTGTAACGCGGCCTCGCAGGACGTCCGTTGGCCCACGTAGCAGCAATTATGCGCGTAGTTAACAAACAAGCGCTTCGGCGTTCTCGAGGAATTCGAGAATCCTGCGGACAATTCGGATGTCGGACTCCGCGACGAGCTCGCGAAAAAGTTACACGACGTGCGAAGCAAGTGTATTCCGCCTATCACGGCGATCCAGAAAGCGAGAATCGCGAGCAGTTTAACCACCGTCGACTTGGATTGAATCGTCATGCCAGCCGGCGATACAGCCTGTCTCCGATAGCCCTTCAGCCGGTCCGCCATACCAAAGGAAGCTCTCAACGCCTAGAAATTGCCGTGACACTGAGGGACTCTGAGGGACTCTGAGGGACACTGAGGGAGTCGAGATTCGAGAGTCGAGACTCGAGAGTCAATATCTCGTGGTCTATTAGCGGAGGGCTAGGAATCCAGGGAGAAATGCAGCTTTGATCGCAATGGCAGCAACCAGCGCTGGCCAATACTTGGCTGCATAGAACCAGGATGCTGAAAATAGCTATCTGCAGCCAAGCTTGGCCTCGGTTGGTTTTTGCACACCTTAGCTAGCAGCTGGGGAGGGGAGCTACCAGAACCAGATCGCAAGTTGACGAGAACACGCGATTCAGGTAACCATGTGTTGAAGCGTGATTGCGAACATTCTGGAGGCTGGTTTGAGGTGGGACGAAAGCCGCGCGAAGGGTTGCGACGCCTTGTCTGTTCGCATTTTCTGGAAGAATATTTCAACCCGACGAGCAACACAGAATTCGAGAACTTCCCAGCAGCGATTCTTCAGCTTCCCGATCTTCCTCGACCTTCCAGATTCCGATTTTCCTTGAGCATCCGCAATTCCAGTTCCCCAGTTCGATATTCACTCTACCTTGGGAATACCGGAAATACAAGCGAACTCCGAGTTGAAGTCTAGCTAGATCTTCAAGGCCGCACCCTTAGCCAAGGCCCGTCCAAGTCCCCATCCCAACCCAGCATATCGCGGGACGGTCTGACGTAATTCCGGGGCTTGCAGCGACGCTTGTTTGGAAAGCTGACAGATCCGTGTTGCATATCGTTTTCGAAGCTTACTAGAAGCTGTCGACAGCGTCCCCAAGGCCGAGAAGCTTGGACACGGCCGGGATCGTCGGGATCTTCGAAATCGTCGGGATTGTCGCGATCCGCGAGGTTGTCGGGATCGTCGGGGTTGTGTCGTCATGGCAGCTGCGAGTCCCGCAGAGTAAGTAAAGAAAAAACCCGCTAGGTGGTACAACTCCCTGCCGCATGCCAGCAAGGCGTGGGGCATGGCGCTACTGGCAACGGCATGTTCCACTCGGCCGTAACGCTTCCACATCCTTATATGCTTCACGTGTTCGCTTCCACATCCTTATATGCTTCACGTGTTCGCCTCCCACGCCCCGTCAGCTGGTACCCTTCTCTGCCGCTGCTCAGCAAGACGTGGCGCACGGCGCTACTGGCAACGGCATGTCCCGCTCAGCCGTAGCGTCTCCACACCCTTATATGTCACGCATGGTCCCCTCCCGTACTCCGTCAGGTGGTACAATTCTCTGCCGCCGGTCAGCAAGGCGTGGGGCACGGTTCTATTCGAGCTTGGTGCCAGTCAGCGATAACGTTTCCATGCTTTCAAATGCGTCACATGCTGCGAATCCCTTCCCACGCCACGTCAGGTGGTACAATTCTCTGCCGCCGGTCAGCAAGGCGTGGGGCACGGCTCTATTCGCGACGGCATGCGCCATGCAGCTGAAAGTGCTGCCAGTGCAGCTCATTTTCCTCGACTACACGCTCATATTCCAGAAATTCCAGGTCAAGATCTCCCTTTTTACCTTTGCACCTTGTCATAAGCCACTGCAGCTCATGCTCCTCGACTACACGCTCATATTCCAGAAATTCCAGGTGACTTTTGAGTCAACCTGACAGCATGTGCGGGTTCTGAGACTTCTCCATTCTTGAAAGTGCTGCCGGTGCAGCTCATGCTCCTCGACCACGCGCTCATATTCCAGAAATCTCAGGTCCAAATCTCCCTTTATAACGCTGCACCTTGTCATAAGCCAGTTCAGCCCATGTTCATTGACTACTCCCTCACATGCCGGCAATCCCAGGCGCCGCCCCTTTGCCTGCCGTTGCTCCTTACTCCACTCTCCTCCCTCCAACCCCCGCCTTTTAAGCGCCCCTTTGTGCCCCCCTGTATGGCCTCCCCTTTGCTCCCTCCGTGCCCTCCCCATGTTCCCCCTCTTCCCCCCCCCCCGTGTCCCCCCCTCCGTGCCCTCCCCATGTGCCGTCACTCCGTTGCCATGTGCGTGCTCAGATATGGCGTCTCGTTACAAGCCTCCTCTTTGCAGGTGGTTTCAGCATGAGATTTGTCTTCACCCTCCTCATGGTGTAAGAACAACCTTTTGCTCTATCGGAAAGTTCCCCTCTCCCACTTCTTTCCTCCCCCTTCCTTCCTCCCTCTTCGCCGTTTCTCCTCCTGCGTTGCTTATAAACTTCTGCCTGTGAGAGGCAATGCTCTGGCGGTCAGAGGGCAGGGCTCTGGCGGTCAGAGTCAGAGCTCTGGCGGTCAGAGGCAGGGCTCTGGCGGTCGGATTCAGTGCTCTGGGCCCCTGGCGGTCAGAGTCAGATCTCTGGCGGCCATAGTCAGGGCTCTGGCAGTCAGAGGCAGGGCTCTGGCGGTCAGAGGCAGGGCTCTGGCGGTCAGAGGCAGTGCTCTGGCTGTCAGAGGGAGGGCTCTGGCGGTCAGACTGGCGGTCAAAGTCAGGGCTCTGACGGTCAGAGTCGGGGCTCTGGCCGTCAGAGTCAGAGCTCTGGAGGTCAGAGGCAGGGCTCTGGGGGTCGTACGCAGGGAACTGGCGGTCAGAGGCAGGGCTCTTGCGGTCAGTGTCAGAGCTCTGGGTGTCAGAGGCACGGCTCTGGCGGTCAGACGCAGAGCTCTGGCGGTCAGAGGCAGGGCTCTGATGGTCAGTGTCAGAGCTCTGGCAGTCAGAGGCAGGGCTCTGGTGGTCAGTGTCAGAGCTCTGGCAGTCAGAGGCAGGGCTCTGGTGGTCAGTGTCAGAGCTCTGGCAGTCAGAGGCAGGGCTCTGGTGGTCAGTGTCAGAGCTCTGGCAGTCAGAGGCGGGACTCTGGCGGTCAGAGTCAGGGCTCTGGTGGTCAGTGTCAGAGCTCTCGCTGTCAGAGTCCGAGCTCTGGCGGTCAGAGGCAGTAATTTGGCGGTCAGAGTCAGAGCTCTGGCGGTCAGAGGCATGGTTCTGGTGGTCAGAGGAAGGGCTCTGGCGGTCAGAGTCAGAGCTCTGGCAGTCAGAGGCAGGGCTCTGGCGGTCAGAGTCAGAGCTCTGGCAGTCAGAGGCAGGGCTCTGGCGGTCAGAGTCAGGGCTCTGGCAGTCAGAGGCGGGACTCTGGCGGTCAGAGTCAGGGCTCTGGTGGTCAGTGTCAGAGCTCTCGCTGTCAGAGTCCGAGCTCTGGCGGTCAGAGGCAGTAATTTGGCGGTCAGAGTCAGAGCTCTGGCGGTCAGAGGCATGGTTCTGGTGGTCAGAGGAAGGGCTCTGGCGGTCAGAGTCAGAGCTCTGGCAGTCAGAGGCAGGGCTCTGGCGGTCAGAGTCAGAGCTCTGGCAGTCAGAGGCAGGGCTCTGGCGGTCAGAGTCAGGGCTCTGGTGGTCAGTGTCAGAGCTCTCGCTGTCAGAGTCCGAGCTCTGGCGGTCAGAGGCAGTAATTTGGCGGTCAGAGTCAGAGCTCTGGCGGTCAGAGGCATGGTTCTGGTGGTCAGAGGAAGGGCTCTGGCGGTCAGAGTCAGAGCTCTGGCAGTCAGAGGCAGGGCTCTGGCGGTCAGAGTCAGGGCTCTGGTGGTCAGTGTCAGAGCTCTCGCTGTCAGAGTCCGAGCTCTGGCGGTCAGAGGCAGTAATTTGGCGGTCAGAGTCAGAGCTCTGGCGGTCAGAGGCATGGTTCTGGTGGTCAGAGGAAGGGCTCTGGCGGTCAGAGTCAGAGCTCTGGCAGTCAGAGGCAGGGCTCTGGCGGTCAGAGGCAGGGCTCTGGCGATCAGAGTCAGAGCTGTGGCGGTCAGAGGCAGTGCTCTAGTGCTCTGGCGGTCAGAGTCCGAGCTCTGGCAGTCAGAGGCAGGGCTCTGGCGGTCAGAGTCAGAGCTCCGACGGTCAGAGGCAGGGCTCTGGTGGTCAGAGGCAGCGCTCTGGCGATCAGGGTCCTATCTCTGGCGGTCAGAGGCCGAGCTCTGGTGGTTAGAGGCAGGGCTCTGGCGGTCAGAGTAAGGGCTCTGGCGGTTCGATTCCGGGCTTTGGCCGTCAGAGGCACGGCTCTGGCGGTCAGAGTCCGAGCTCTGGCGGTCAGAGGCAGTAATCTGGCGGTCAGAGTCAGAGCTCTGGCGGTCAGAGGCAGTGCTCTGGCTGTCAGAGTTTCTCTCCTTGTCATCAGAACCAGGTATCTTCAACAGTGTCTACACCATCATCCTCGTTTTTGCGGGGCTCTCTATTGTGTACAATTGAGACTCAAGCATTCGCAGGCAGAACAGCAGACTTCCTCTGTATGCTCGTGGTCAACACTTTCAGCCCTTTCTGCTGCTCCTTCCCTTCTCTCCTCCCTCGATCTCGCAGGGCTCGCTACTGTGTACAGATGGAGACGTCCGCCTTCGCAGGAAGAACAGCGGACTTCCTCTACATGCTGATGGTCAACACGCTCAGCCTGCTGCTCATCGCGCTCATCATCCCCTTCAAAATCTTCTTCCTCAGCGAGCCGCTGCTGCTCTCCGTGCTCTACCTGTGGAGCCGAGAGAACCCCAACGGTGTCGTCAACTTCATGGGGCTCTTATCCATGCCGGTACGTCCTCGGTGCCACTATGTTTTCATGCCGGTAAGTGTCCTCCTTGGGTTATGTCGTCTTTTCCTGCTACCATCTTTTTGAACGAGCACAGATCGTCTTCCTGATGACTTCCTTTCCCATATTCCTCTGCTGCTTCCTGCAGGCGTTCTACCTCCCCTGGGCGTACCTGTTCATGGACCTGCTCTTTGGCATGAGCATCGTTGACCCGCTAGCCGGCATTGTGGCCGGCCACATCTACTACTTCCTCACGGCCGTGTATCCCAGGACAGGGGGACCCCAGCTCATTCACACGCCTCTTTGGGTGTAAGTCTGGCCTTCTGTTGTATATCGAGGTGCCTTGTATTGAGCCCAACTGCCACATCTACTACTTCCTCACGGCTGTGTATCCCAGGACAGGGGGACCCCAGCTCATTCACATGCCTCTTTGGGTGTAAGTCTTCTCTCCCTTCATTTCCTTCTCCTTATTGGGGGGGCTTTAAGTGAGCCCTAAAGCCACATCTACCACTTCCCCAGTGTCGTCTATCCCCGCACGGGGGGCTCATCCTTACTCCTCTTTGGGTGTCTGTGTTCCTCTTCTTCTCCTCTGTATTCTTTGCCGTGTGCCAGGAGGACGAGCTCAGCATGTGCCACATTCCCCCTCTTGTCTTATCCCCTCCCCTCCCTCCCACCCCTCCCCTCCCTCCCACCCCTCCCCTCCATCCCACCCCTCCCCTCCATCTCACCCCTCCCCTCCATCCCACCCCTCCCCTCCATCCCACCCCTCCCCTCCATCCCACCCCTCCCTCCATCCCACCCCTCCCCTTCATCGCAATCCCCCTTCTATCAGTCACCGGCTCGTGGCGCAGGGGGCGGCTGTAGCGCCACACATGGTGCAGCCGCAAGCACCTCTGCGGGCAATCAGGGCACACATGGTGCAGCCCCAGGCACTCCTAGCTCGTATATGCATTGGATGCGAACTTACCCCTCCAGTTTACCCCTGCCCTTCACCCCTCCACGCTGCCTACCCTTACCCCTCTTTCAGCCACCTGCTTGTGGCGCAGTGCGCGGCTGTGACCCTCACACATGGTCCAGCCCCAAGCACCACCCGCTCGTGTATGCATTGGATTGGATTTCCACCTACCCACGGCCCACCTCCTCTCCTCCCTCCACGCTGCCTACCCTTACCCCTCTTTCAGCCACCGGCTCGTGGCACAGTGGGCGGCTGTAGCGCCAAACATGGTGCAACCACAGGCACCTCCGCGGGCCAACCAGGGTGCGCCACCTGGCGGCCGCGGGCCTGCAGCAGGAGCAGCGGGAGGGGCGGCAGCAGCAGCAGGGGCTGGTGGTGGTGCTGTGTTTAGGGGGCGAGCATACAGGTTGGATAGAGATTAGGGTAGCAGCAGCAGCAGCAGCAGCAGCAGCAGCAGCAGCAGCAGCAGCAGCAGCAGCAGCAGCAGCAGCAGCAGCAGCAGCAGCAGCAGCAGCAGCAGCAGCAGCAGCAGCAGCAGCAGGAGTTGGTGATGGTGCTGGCTCTGAGTCTGGTGGTACTGCATTTCGGGGGGACAACTACTAGATTGAACTGGGGCCCCATTATATCCGGGTACAATGCCCTGATTACCCCGATTTTCAGGCCGTTTTTTATGCTGGGCTGATTCTCCAGGCTTCGGAGAACCCTCACTTCAAAAAAAGGTGTAGCTTTGTTCCAATCCAGGTTCGCGGACCTGCGGCCCAGTGCAGCAAGGCAGGGCAACAAGGCAACTATCCTGAAACCAATAACTCCAAGCCCATCGTGCATAACAGGCACAATTTCTGCCACACCCCTGTAATTCTGCCAGCGAGGGCAGTCTGCCACCCACTCACTCACATGCACTTATAGTGCAGCGGTGGTAGCATTTGTTATTGTTGTTATGGTCAGCAGCACCCTGTTGACGAACAGGCTGTTCAATCAGGCTTGAAATAATGTTCACTGATAAACCATGCCACGGGAGTTCGCTACCTCAGGTGCCAGGGTGTTTTGGCCCGCTGCTGACCCTGGCTTCGAAGGGTGCGACAAATTTCATTTTGGGTCCATGCCGGGATTACGGACGAGGCCGCTTGGAGCTACAGAACCATCCATGGCTCTGTGCAACAATGTAGGGGGTGGCTCCCCTTACAGTCCTGCAGTGTTTAGGCACACACGAGCTCCACATTTGATAACAGATGTATAGACATACAGTACTACAGTTGGACAGAAGTTTGCTCATCAGGATGTATGCTTCCCTCATGCATCCCATTCGCTAAAGTCACATCCAAGTATTCTCTCTCTTTTATCTCATCAAACGGCGTACCCACATCCTCTGCCTCCCACCACTCCCTCGACATCCTCCTTCTTGTCCGATTCGCTATCACCCCCAGAACACTCTCCACTTCACTCATGTTATACGTCAACTCTGAGTCCTTAGTTCCATTCCCAAAAACCAGGTAATAGTTCTGGCGTGTGGCCATGGAGAGGTGGTGGTAGCAGGGGTTGGGGTAGTTGTTGGGGCGAATCTCAAAGATGCATGAGTTGGATGGCATGAAGATCATGTTGGTGAGGCCTGCTCCATGCAAGCCCACATAGACAGCTGCTCGGTTGAAGAGCAGCTTGGCTGGGAGAACCACAGGGTTGTGGGGGGGAGGGGAGGGTGAGAGACGAGGAATTGGACAGTATGAAAGGCATGTGGGTGAGACCTGCCCTGTGGAGGCCCACATAGACGGCTGCTCGGTTGAGCACCAGCTTGGCTGGAAGCAGGGCAGGTATAGGAGCAAAGGGGGCAAGGGAGGGAACTGGATGGCATGAAGATCATGTTGGAACGGTCTGCTCCGTGCAAACCAACACAGACAGCTGCTCGGTTGACGAGAAGCCTAACTGTGTGCAGAGAGACGGCGATGCAGGGAGGGTCGAAGGGAGAGGGGAAGGGCGGTGGGCGGTGGGCGGTGGGCGGTGGGTGGTGGGCGGTGGGCGGTGGGCGGTGGGCGGTGGGCGGTGGGCAGTGGGCGGTGGTTGCATATCCAAGGAACTTGGTTGCATTGCTCTCCATAGAAAAACCTTCCGTGGCCCAACCTTCAAGCACGCCCCACCTTGCAGCACGCCCCACCTTGCAGCACAAACACCCCAGCGGGGGGAACACTCGCTTCATCACCGCTGGCGTATGGGTATCCCGTTGTCACTAGCACAGCCCACCTATCTCAGCGCCAGAACCCACCTGTCAGCACAACAAACTACCTCACAGCATAGCAGAACTCACTATTCCTTCTAGCATTGGCGCCTACCTTGCAGCATGGGAAGGTCCCCTTCAAACACAAACACCCTCTGCAGTGGGAACACTCTCCTCGTCGCCCCAACAGTCAGATACCAGCATAGTGCACCAACGTTTCACCATAACAAGCCCCACCTGTCACCATTGCACACCGCAGCTTGCATCATGGGAAGGTCGCCTTCAAACATGAACACCCGCTGCGGCGGAGACACTCTCCTCCTCGACGCTATGTAGAGATCCTTGAGTACTAGCAGAGCCAACCTTTCAGCATAAAAACCCCACCTTTCAGCATAAAAACCCCACCTTTCAGCATAAGAACCCCACCTTTCAGCATAAAAAGCCCACCTTTCAGCATAAAAAGCCCACCTTTCAGCATAAAAAGCCCACCTTTCAGCATAAAAAGCCCACCTTTCAGCATAAAACCCCACCTTTCAGCATAAAAACCCCACCTTTCAGCATAAAAACCCCACCTTTCAGCATAAAAACCCGATCTTTCAGCATAAAAACCCCACCTTTCAGCATAGAAACCCCACCTTTCAGCATAGCAGAACCACCTCATTACGACAAAGCTCACCTTGCAGCATGGGCAGGTCGCCTTCAAATACAAACACCCGCTGTGGCGGGAACACCCTCCCCATCGCTGCCACGAGCGAATCAAACCCCGCCAGGTGGCGCATGGCGCCGCGGCGGTGCGCAATCACGGCGCGCCAGCTGTACGGCAGTCGAGCCGTCTGTTCATCAGTCCAAAGAGGCACGTCGTTGCCAGCAACGCCTGCTGCTACAGGAAGTGTGATAGTAGTGGGGTCAACTGCTGCTCCCCCCTCACTGCTGCTGTTGCCACCGCTGCTGGTGCTGGCGCTGCTGCTTGTGCTGCTGGCAGTCATATTGCTGTCACCACTGGTGGTGTTGGCTGCTGTACCAGTAGTGGCTGGCGGCACATAGGTGTGGTTGTGGCGGGGGACAAAGCCCGGGAGGAACAGAGGCAGGCCGTTGGGGGGAGCAGGAAGCGCCTCCGCAGCTCGCCCCACATGGCAGGGGCGGATCGGCCACACGCCTGGTACACTGGCTGGGATGGTGGGGGGAAAGGGAGGAGGGGGGGTTGGGGGGGAAGCGGGGGGGAAGCGGGGGAGAAGGGGTGATGGGAGGGTGGGGGGCATACAAGGGAGCCGGAAGCGCCGACCCAGCTCGCCCCACATGGCAGGGGCGGAGCGGCCACACGCCTGGTTCGCTGGCTGGGTTGGGGGGGAGGGGGGAAGGGGGTTGATGGGGGGAGAAGGGCAGTTGTGGCAGGAAGAGCAGGAAGCGTTGGTGCAGCACGCCCCACATGGCAGGGGCGGAGTGGCCGCAGGCTTGATACACTGGCTGGGAAAGGAGAGATGAGAGACGGGCAGTGGACGGGTAGACGTGAGGAGGCATTAAGAGCAGGAAGTGCCGGCGCAGCTCCCCCCACATAGCAGGGGGGGAGCGACCGCAGGCTCTCTACACTGGCTGGGTTGGGGAAGGGAAGGGGGGTGATAGGAGGAGAAGGGCCCGTGGAGAGGAGGAAGCACTAGCATCAGACCCTTGGATCCGGCGCTTGCATCGGGCCCTTGCATCCGGTGCTTGCATCGGCCTATTGGATCGGGACCTTGGATCGGGCGCTTGGCATTGGGACCTTGGATCAGACTGTCGGGATCGGGCGTTTGGGATCGGGTTCTTGGGATCGGCCGGTTCTTGGGATCAGCGGGTTCATGGGATCAGGTTCTTGGGATCGAGCTCTTGGGATCCGGCTCTTGCGATCGGGATCTTGGGAACGGGATCTTGGGATCGGGTTCCCTGCGATCGGGTTCTTGCGATTGGGCACATCGGATTGGGCTCATGGGATCGGGCTCTTGGGATCAGGCTTTGGGATCGGGCGCTTGGGATCTGGACCATGGATTGGGCGATTGGCATCGGGACCTTTTGATAGGACTGTCGTGATCGGGCTCTTGGGATCGGGTTCTTGGGATCGGGTTCTTGGGATTGGGGTCTTGGAATCTTGGAATCGGGTTCTTGGGATCAGGTTCTTGGGATCGGGTTCTTGGGATCGGGTTCTTGGGATCGGGTTCTTGGGATCGGGGTCTTGGGATCGGGCGTTTGGGATCGGGTTCTTGGGATCGGGCGTTTGGGATGGGGTTCTTCGGATCAGGTTCTTGGGATCTTGTTCTAGGGATATTGTTCTTGGGATCGGCGGGTTCTTGGGATCGGGTTCTTGGGATCGGCGGGTTCTTGGGATCGGCTTCTTGGGATCGGCGGGTTCTTGGGATCGGGTTCTTGGGATTGGGTTCTTGGGATCGGGTTCTTGGGATCGGGTTCTTGGGATAGGGCTCTTGAGATCGGGTGATTGGGATCGGGTTCTTGGGATCGTGTTCTTGGGATCGGGTTCTTGGGATCGGGTTCTTGGGATCGGGTCCTTGGGATCGGGGTCTTGGGATCGGGTTCTTGCGATCGGGCTCTTCGGATTGGGCTCACGGGACGGGCTCTTGGGATCTGGCGTTTGGAATCGGGCGCTTGGGATCTGGTCCATGGATTGGGCGCTTGGCATCGGGACCTTGGATAGGACTGTCGTGATCGGGCTCTTGGGATCGGGTTCTTGGGATTGGGTTCTTGGAATCGGGTTCTTGGGATCGGGTTCTTGGGATCGGGTTCTTGGGATCGGGGTCTTGGGATCGGGTACTTGGGATCGGGTTCTTGGGATCGGGGACTTGGGATCGGGCGTTTGGGATCGGGTTCTTGAGATCTGGCGTTTGGGATGGGGTTCTTCGGATCAGGTTCTTGGGATCTTGTTCTTTGGGTCGGGTTCTTGGGATCGGCGGGTTCTTGGGATCGGGTTCTTGGGATTGGGTTCTTGGGATTAGGTTCTTGGGATCAGCGAGTTCTTGTGATCGGGTTCTTGGGATCGGGCTCTTGAGATCGGGTAATTGGGATTGGGTTCTTGGGATCGTGTTCTTGGGATCGGGTTCTTGGGATCGGGTCCTTGGGATCGGGGTCTTGGGATCGGGGTCCTGGGATCGGGCGTTTGGGATCGGGTTCTTGGGATCGGGCGTTTGGAATAGGGTTCTTCGGATCAGGTTCTTGGGATCGTGTTCTTAGGATCTGGTTCTTGGGAATCGGCGGGTTCTTGGGATCGGGTTCTTGGGATCGGGTTCTTGGGATCGAGCTCTTGGGATCGGGTTCTTGGGATCGGGTTCTTGGGATCTTGTTCTTGGGATCGGGTTCTTGGGATCGGCGGGTTCTTGGGATCGGGTTCTTGGGATCGGGTTCTTCGGATCAGGTTCTTGGGATCGTGTTCTTAGGATCGGGTTCTTGGGAATCGGCGGGTTCTTGGGATCGGGTTCTTGGGATCGGGTTCTTGGGATCGAGCTCTTGGGATCGGGTTCTTGGGATCGGGTTCTTGGGATCTTGTTCTTGGGATTGGGTTCTTGGGATCGGCGGGTTCTTGGGATCGGGTTCTTGGGATCCAGTTCTTGGGATCCAGTTCTTGGGATCAGGTTCTTGTGATCGGGTTCTGGGGATCGGGTTCTTGGGATCGGGTTCTTGGGATCCGGCTCTTAGGATAGGGCTCTCGGGATCGGGCTCTTTGGACAGGTTCTTGGGATCGTGTTCTTGGTATCGGGTTCTTGGGATGGGCGGGTTCTTGGGATCGGGTTCTTGGGATGGAGTTCTTGGGATCGGGTTCTTAGGATCGGGTTCTTGGGATCGGGTTCTTGGGATCGGGTTCTTGGGATCGGGTTCTTGGGATCGGGTTCTTGGGATCGAGATCTTGGGATCGGGTTCTTGGGATCGGGTTCTTGGGATCTTGTTCTTGGGATCGGGTTCTTGGGATCGGCGGGTTCTTGGGATCAGGTTCTTGGGATCCAGTTCTTGGGATCGGGTTCTTGTGATCG